AATGCTTTGGAAGAAGAATGGTTTGCTATTCCACAACAGGAAATCCAAAACCTGATTAGAGAAATGAATCGACGTTTAGAAGCTGTTATAAGAGCAAGAGGAGGTAACACGAGGTACTAACTTTTAAAACCCCTAGTTCCATGCTTCAATTAAAAATAGACTTGATCAAAAAGTGTAATGTTTATTTCAAAAATTCATATCTTCCAAACCGATAAAGATACCAAGACCGATAAAACAGCAAAATGTTGAAAATGGATCAAACTCTCCAGAAAAGCATATCCAGTGTAGCTTACTCCGCAAAATTACTCTACAGAGTGTTACAAAGTTAAGAGAAAAAATATACTTTTTTATTTTCCTGGTATATTCCAACATGTAAACTGTATTTTTGAAAATTGAATAAAATTAATTAAAACCGAAACAATTATCTACATTATGAAAAAAAAAAAGATTGAAATCGGACTATGGAAGAAAAAGTTACCTACATCAAATTTGATTTAAATTTTGATTGTCCCGAATTTTCTGTCGGTGAGTGTAGTATAGAACGCTATAAAATTATAGTACATTTGTACAAATTATAGTATCCTGCTGGAGATAGATATGACCACCAATTGTCCTGATGGGACACACAGAGATCGAACTATTATGAAATTTTCTGGATAAAACGAGAAAAGTCAGGGGCGTATCATACTAAAATTCCAATAGAAAATAAATCAAATAAATTGGGCATAAATGCTGTTATAAGACATTTTATTTTTTTCTGGAAAACTATTCAGGGGAAAATTATGAAATTTTCTGGAAAAAAAGAAGAAAGTCAGGAGCGTATCATAATAAAATTTCAAATTTTTCCAGTGGATAATAACTCCATTGGAAATTAATGAAAATAAACTAAATTAAGCATGAATGCACCATCTTACATTTATTTTTTTTTTTTTGGAAAACTATTCAAGGGAAAACTATGACATTTGCTAGAAAAAAAAAAGAAAATCAGGGACGTATCATAGTAAAATTTCAAATTTTTTCGGTGCAAAATAACCCCATTGAAAATTAACGAAAATCAACTAAATTAGGCATAAATGCACCATCCAATATTTTATTTTTCTTCTAGAAAACTATTCAGGGGAAAATTATGACATTTTCTGGAAAAAAAGAAGAAAGTCAGAGGCGTATCATAGTAATATTTCAAATTTTTCCATTGGAAAATAACCTTATTGGAAATTAATGAATATCAACTAAATTAGGCATAAATGCACCATCTTACATTTATTTTTTTTTTCTGGAAAACTATTCAAGGGAAAACTATGACATTTGCTAGAAAAAAAAAGAAAATCAGGGACGTATCATAGTAAAATTTCAAATTTTTTCGGTGGAAAATAACCCCATTGAAAATTAACGAAAATCAACTAAATTAGGCATAAATGCACCATCCAATATTTTATTTTTCTTCTAGAAAACTATTCAGGGGAAAATTATGACATTTTCTGGAAAAAAAGAAGAAAGTCAGGAGCGTATCATAATAAAATTTCAAATTTTTCCAGTGGATAATAACTCCATTGGAAATTAATGAAAATAAACTAAATTAAGCATGAATGCACCATCTTACATTTATTTTTTTTTTTCTGGAAAACTATTCAAGGGAAAACTATGACATTTGCTAGAAAAAAAAAGAAAATCAGGGACGTATCATAGTAAAATTTCAAATTTTTTCGGTGGAAAATAACCCCATTGAAAATTAACGAAAATCAACTAAATTAGGCATAAATGCACCATCCAATATTTTATTTTTCTTCTAGAAAACTATTCAGGGGAAAATTATGACATTTTCTGGAAAAAAAGAAGAAAGTCAGGAGCGTATCATAATAAAATTTCAAATTTTTCCAGTGGATAATAACTCCATTGGAAATTAATGAAAATAAACTAAATTAAGCATGAATGCACCATCTTACATTTATTTTTTTTTTCTGGAAAACTATTCAAGGGAAAACTATGACATTTGCTAGAAAAAAAAAAAAAATCAGGGACGTATCATAGTAAAATTTCAAATTTTTTCGGTGGAAAATAACCCCATTGAAAATTAACGAAAATCAACTAAATTAGGCATAAATGCACCATCCAATATTTTATTTTTCTTCTAGAAAACTATTCAGGGGAAAATTATGACATTTTCTGGAAAAAAAGAAGAAAGTCAGAGGCGTATCATAGTAATATTTCAAATTTTTCCAATGGAAAATAACCTTATTGGAAATTAATGAATATCAACTAAATTAGGCATAAATGCACCATATAACATTTTATTTTTTTCTGGAAAACCATTCAAGGGAAAATTATGACATTTTTTGGCAAAAAAGGAGAAAATCAGGGGCGTATCAGAGTAAAATTTCAAATTTTTCCATTGGAAAATAACCCCATTGGAAATTAATGAAAATCAACTAAATTAGACATAAATGCACCATCTAAAATTTAATTTTTTTTCTGGAAAATTATTCAAGAAAAAATTTTGACATTTTCTGGAAAAAAAGAAGAAAGTCAAAGGCGTATCCTAGTAATATTTCAAATTTTTCCAATGGAAAATAACCTTATTGGAAATTAATGAATATCAACTAAATTAGGCATAAATGCACCATCTTACATTTATTTTTTTTTTCTGGAAAACTATTCAAGGGAAAACTATGACATTTGCTAGAAAAAAAAAGAAAATCAGGGACGTATCATAGTAAAATTTCAAATTTTTTCGGTGGAAAATAACCCCATTGAAAATTAACGAAAATCAACTAAATTAGGCATAAATGCACCATCCAATATTTTATTTTTCTTCTAGAAAACTATTCAGGGGAAAATTATGACATTTTCTGGAAAAAAAGAAGAAAGTCAGGAGCGTATCATAATAAAATTTCAAATTTTTCCAGTGGATAATAACTCCATTGGAAATTAATGAAAATAAACTAAATTAAGCATGAATGCACCATCTTACATTTATTTTTTTTTTCTGGAAAACTATTCAAGGGAAAACTATGACATTTGCTAGAAAAAAAAAAAAAATCAGGGACGTATCATAGTAAAATTTCAAATTTTTTCGGTGGAAAATAACCCCATTGAAAATTAACGAAAATCAACTAAATTAGGCATAAATGCACCATCCAATATTTTATTTTTCTTCTAGAAAACTATTCAGGGGAAAATTATGACATTTTCTGGAAAAAAAGAAGAAAGTCAGAGGCGTATCATAGTAATATTTCAAATTTTTCCAATGGAAAATAACCTTATTGGAAATTAATGAATATCAACTAAATTAGGCATAAATGCACCATATAACATTTTATTTTTTTCTGGAAAACCATTCAAGGGAAAATTATGACATTTTTTGGCAAAAAAGGAGAAAATCAGGGGCGTATCAGAGTAAAATTTCAAATTTTTCCATTGGAAAATAACCCCATTGGAAATTAATGAAAATCAACTAAATTAGACATAAATGCACCATCTAAAATTTAATTTTTTTTCTGGAAAATTATTCAAGAAAAAATTTTGACATTTTCTGGAAAAAAAGAAGAAAGTCAAAGGCGTATCCTAGTAATATTTCAAATTTTTCCAATGGAAAATAACCTTATTGGAAATTAATGAATATCAACTAAATTAGGCATAAATGCACCATATAACATTTTATTTTTTTCTGGAAAACCATTCAAGGGAAAATTATGACATTTTTTGGAAAAAAAGAAGAAAATCAGGGGCGTATCAGAGTAAAATTTCAAATTTTTCCATTGGAAAATAACCCCATTGGAAATTAATGAAAATCAACTAAATTAGACATAAATGCACCATCTAAAATTTAATTTTTTTTCTGGAAAATTATTCAAGAAAAAATTTTGACATTTTATGGAGAAAAAGAGAAAAGTCACGGTCGCATCACACTAAAATTTCAAATTTTTCCCGCTAAAAACAACAAAATTAAAAATAATTTAAAAAATTAAATAGGGGTGCGTTCGATTACATCTTTTTTGGTATAAAAAAGGATCCGCTCAGGAAAATCAATGAAATTGACAATTGACAGTGTAAACCCAGTCATCAAAAAAACACTAAACTAACACTTTTGACAGTTGACATTTAAAGTATCAACTGTCAAAAAATACATGCTCAATCAATACTAAAACGACAGAGGTCAAAAAAAAAAAAAGGTGACTAGACATAAGGGCTTGCACGCTAACACATTAGAAAACCAATAGGATTAGGACTTGTTGCTAATAGAAGGTAGGATTAGGCAACAAATTAGGATTTAAAATAGGCTGGGAGAACTAGAATAAAGACTTAGGATAAGGGCGTATTATTTTAGGCGTACTATAATGACCTTTGATAGTACATAGTACATAGTACATAACTATTCAATTATAGTACAAATACTATAATAATTATAGTACGGTTGGCAACACTGATCGAGGAGCAAAGATACAATTTCTCGGGTAATATTTGAATATTTTTGATTTAACTTTGTTGTACCTACCTACCTACCTTATGACTTGGATTTTTAATAAGTTCACATTTTATTATTAATATAAAGACCTTGTGTTGAGAGTGTCAAGACAAGAGAAAAAATTTCTGCCAGAACTTATTTTGCTTTGAATAACTGGTTAACGTTAAGCATCAGACTAAATAATTATTATTGATGATTCAGAGGATTAATACTAATATATTGAACATTTCCAAAAATGGCTAACGGGACTTAATTTTTTTTCATTAAACATATGATACTGCATATTTTTTAAGAAGACACCTTGACTCGGACGATAATCATTTGCCATCTACACTCTAGTAGGTACGTCTACAAATGTTGGGAAAAAAATTTATATTTCTTCTATTCAGGTACACATAAAAATGGAGCCTTGTTGGCCTTACAAAAAGGGAGACAGCTAATACACTGTATAAGGCCAAAACACTAAAGGGCCCAACACACAAAAGGAGGACGTTGTAGGTCATACCTACCTATAACCAATAAAAATACGACCAAGTTTCCGGCTATTTTTTAATCAGTTAAAACAAAATAAAACCCTTAACCCTGGGGACTGCTTGAAACCAAACAGAATAATTTTTTTTTTTACAAAATTGACTACATATTCCTATATACAACTCATAGCAAATTAATAATTTAAAACTGAAGTAGATACAATAATAGCACCTCAAAATATTATTTATATACATTTTCGTCAATCTACTGTTCACTGTCGTTTTCAACCAATAATCTGGATTTGTTCAAACTGGTGTTGAATTCCTCGACCCCGTTACTCTCCAGCACGTTATCCAATGAAGTTTTATTGCCCAATCGTAGCCGATTTAGTTTTTCCGAGGCGTTTTCCACGACATCGAAGCTCAAACTTTTCAAATTAGTTTTGTACAAAGCCGACGTTATTTTGGGCTTGGTGGTTTCGACTATCCGTCCGGCAGCCGAATCGTTATCGTAGCCCATGTAGAGGTTGTAGCCGTAACGATCCTGATCGCAGCTGAGCTGATTCGAGTAGCTGTAGCTTTGACGGAGCGAGCTCAGCGACGTTGTTGACGTCGACAGACCTGTTTTGGCCTTGCTACCTAAAAAAAATCACGTTTTTTTTTTTAACTGGTATCGTCAAGTTTTCAATGTGTTTACCTGGTCTGTGAAAGGGGGAGGTTTTTTGTACGTTATATTCGCTGTCGCGTTCTTTTGCAGTAACTTCATGATTATACCTAGAAAATAATAGTTCTGTAACACTTCCAGGAATGGTAAAACAAAATTATCAGTTTGGGAAAATTTTATTTCGATGTTTTGACTTTCTTTATTTATAGAGAAGTGAGGAGGATTTGTGTTCACTACAGTGATGCCAGGTCTGATGAAATTTCACCAAGGGTGGGGTGCGATTTTCGAAACCATTTCGTACACGAAATCTGACTGATAGCAATTTAAATTAAATGGGGGGAGCATTCAAATTTCTTGTACGAAATGTACTCGAATGGTTTCGAAAATCGCACCCCAGATCTAGTGATTTTATGAAAAATTTGGTGATTGGTGAAAAACTTTTTGAAAAATGGAAATTTCTGGTGATATTTCATCAATTTTGAATATTTTTAACAATGGCATACACTTTATAAACATCCCTCGTAATGTATTAAAATTTTTCTTCATTAACATACAAATTTCATTTGTTTGACAGAAAACCAAATACCCATTAGGTAAGTGGTGTGTGAGGTCCTTTGATTTTTATATAAATTTGTATTTGTTCTTTTGATATATTTATATATGTTTCCCTTTTTATATTTCAATTTCTGTTTATTCCAGGCTCTTGTTGCTATTGGCCGGTTATTTTTCAAGTTGGCAACATGTATTTTGTTTGGCCAATGGCATTGCTTATGGGGGGTTTCAGTCAAACCAATCGAAAACTTGAAATTTTTATTTTATATATTTTCGAAATTTTGACTTTTCCAATTGATTCAGCTGGTTTAAATTAATCGAGAAAAATTCTAACATCACTTTCAAAATGGCGATTTTAAAAGGCTAAAAAGTCTCCATTTTTGTTCTGGATTTTTTTTTAAATCTTGACAAGGTTAGGAATAATGGCTAATATCTTCAAAGAAATTTGAACAAATCAAAACAAATTATATATGGTTGGAAAGAGCATTAAATTCTCTATAAATCCATGCTAAATTGGTTCTGATAACTCGAATACTTTCTGGGCAATTGGATCTCAAAGTTAACTTTTAGTCCAAATTTTATCAAAAATTTCAAACTCAATTTTCTCGAAAACCATAAGAGCTACCGATTTTAACTAAATACCATTTTTAAGCCCTTGTCAAGAGTTACATTTTCTGGAAATTTTAATTCAAAATCTTTAATAGATTTTAAGATATCCAAGACCAAATATTTTCAAATAAAAATCTAAAGGGGTAACCCTTTGAAAAATTCGAAATTTTTATTGTTCATATTTATTGAATTTTGACTTTTCCAATCGATAGAGCGGGTCGAAATTAGTTGAAAAAAACGCTAACATCATTACAAAATCTTGATTTCAACACAGGAAAAAATTAAAAAGAAAATCTCAATTTTTAGGTTTAAATTTTAGGTTAGGAGCAATTGCCAATTAAATTTTGAGCAAATCAAAATAAATTATAAAGGGGTTGGAAAGAGCATCAAATTCTCTATAATTCAGTGCTAGATTGAGTTTGATAACTCAAATACTTTTGGAGCAATTGAGCCTCAAAGTTGGATTTTAGTTGAAATTTAGTCAAAAACTTCAAACTCGATTTTCTCAAAAACCGAAAATGCCAACTGAGTACCATTTTGAAGCCCTTATTAGGAGCTACAATTTCCAAAAAAAATTGATCCAAAATCTCTGACGGGTTCCGAGAAAATTAAATTTGAGAACTTTCAAATAAAAATCCCAAATCCCTTTGAAAAAAATTAAAAAACTCAAAATTTTCATTTTTCAGACTTTCGTAATTTTAACTTTTCCAATCGATAGAGCGGGTCTAAATTAGTCGAAAAAAAATTTAACATTATTTCAAAATGACAATTTTAAAGGAAGATTTTTTGGATCTAAATTTTAAAAAAATAATCCTGACATGTTCATGAGCAATTGCCCATATCTTCATTGAAATTTGAGCAAACTAAAACATATCGTATATCATTGAAAAGAGCATTAAATTTTCTATAATTCTCAATCATCAATTCAGTCTCAGAATTGAATTTTACTACAATCACTAGTCAATAAATCCCATGTATTCCCAAGAATTACAACTAGTTACTTATGATTGTTAAATATTTTACTAGGTGATTTCCATTTTTTTGGGGATTCCTGTATCATTTTCAATTGATTACCTGATTTCCTCTAAGCAATCATTTGATTCTCAAAACCAATATCCAATTGTTAAGCTTCTTAAGATATTGTGCAAAATGTGGCAACGATGAGCCACATTTTCTCCTGTACCATATGGCATTTTCGAATTTCGAATCCGACATTTTGCCCTCGTTTTTATTCTAATCGGTGACTTCACCGATGAGTTAGCTATCTTTGTTTAGTGAATGGAAAATGACAATGACCGACAAAGAATGGTGGATCCATCGGTAAAATTTGATGAGAATAAAAACGCAGGGAATGTCTATGGGCCACAATGTCATCTAATAGTCAAACCCAAATATTATAATCTTTAATGTTTAATTACGTGTTTTAAAGCTCTATTTTTGCTTAATTGTTTTATTCAATTTGCATTATTTTCAACGGCATTAATATGCATTGAGTGTATTCGTGTCTTTTTTTACTAATTTGTTTAAAAAAGAGATAGAAATACATATTTTCTGACCTGGTTTTAGCAAAGGATTTGTTAAAATTCTCATAATTATTAGGTTTTGGAAGAAAAATTTAAAACGTAGTAACTCTAGTCTAAAAATGTAGAAACCCTAACACAATTTAACGTTTCAAAGTAGGCCCGGTAGTTTTTGACAGTTTTAAATGGCTGGGTTGTTTCCAAGACCTACTTGATTTGATAAATTTTTTGCTTATAGTTATCTGTATCACCGACATCGATTAAAACCTGTGCTGGGATCACGACAAGTAGAATTCCACTAGAATTCTACTTTCATGACGTCAGGTTGCCTAGTAACAGTGATCTTCGCCTTTAGTATACGCGATAAATAAGTCGCGGGTGACGTCATGAAAATAGAATTCTACTTGTCATGATCCCAGCCTAGGATTGCTTCAAGGTTCACTTAGTTTTTGATAAGTAGTAATCATTGGTATTAATCTTATCGCTTGTCATAAATGATATTTGACATTTTGCTCAACAGTGTTGCCGATGTTTATATAATTACTATTATGGAAAATTTGAAATTTGCAAGGCCTACTTGGGCTTTTTTTTTGTATAAATTCGAGCCTCAACGATTGACACAATACAATATTTGTTATAAGCTGTAGTTGGCAACACTGTTTGATTAGGGACAAAGTAGGCTTTGCAAAATTTGTGATTTTTTTTTTTAAATCTGGTGATTTTTCATTCCAATTTCTGGTGAATTTAATTTTTTTGATTTGGCAACAGTGGTTTACTATTATCTATGATGCAAAATGTACGTCGATATATTTGGGAAAATATTCAGGACTTTTTTCTTACTTCTCGGGAGGGCTATGAACCAGAGCGCATTGATCACTCATCGAACCAGACCGATTAGGCTCAGAGCCAGGACTACGTCTCACACCTTGTTGCACTTCGACCACAAAAACGCCATCCCTGGCACTTGGTGAGTATCTTAACGTAGTCTCTCTACTATCTTCTTCTATATCCTACAAAACAGCACGAACTACACTTAACCAAGACATCATGATAAAACTTACATTACGCTCTTCAGTTTCTACAATGAGATGATTATTTTTCAAAGTCATCGTAATAATGCTGCCGTTAATGTTACTGGATTTGTTATTCGAGCTTGGTGATAGATCGTCGCAAATTTCCACAGCTTCCGATGTACTAATATCTAAGTGCGTTTCGGAAGAGCCCTGAAAAAAAATTACGTAATCAACTTCTTGGGCCTAGCAACTGTGGTTGTAACAAAATACATCTGCTCGACAGTGCAAAATTCGTTGGAAATGCATCCTTTCGAATTGAGGTCACTCGACAAAGGCAAGGCCGGTTTTTTTTCTGCTAACTTTAATAGTTTGCCCAGTTTTCCTTTAATAAAGTAACTAACTGTTGCTGCAACTACATTATTAAGTCTTTATCTAACAAATAGAACGGTAAAAGGCCAAAACCTCATATCCTCAAGGAGCCCTATAATTTTCAAATTTTAACCCAGATGTTGTTTTTCGGTTCTAAGAAATCTAGTAGTCTTCCAAGAATGGTCTAAATAGGGTTAGTGGACTTTCCCTTTGCACAAAGTGCGATAATGGGGCCATTTTGCTACACGCAAACCCTGCTATTTATTTTTTTTTGTAGCATTTTTGTGCCTTGAGCACGAACATCTGCATAACAGTTCATTCCGTCATAATGTGATGGGAAGTTGAATTCATTATGTATTTGATATAATTTTTTGCACTCAATATTTGAAAGTTTACATCAATCAAGATATTCAATTTCAGTTTATTCCAATAAACATTATAAGCACAAAGAAAATATAAATAAACTTTCGACTATTATAGTCCCTTCAAGCAATAGCCTTATCTTTATTACGCCTAGGCAAATAATCTTCAAATTCAAGAACTACCTATAGGTAGTAATGATCAAAATTTGAACAATGTATTATTTACCAGCTTATGATTCGTTTAAGCAAACTAGAGTTCTTATCTAATAGTACAAATTTTGACTATTTGAATCATTCAACGAATCAAAAGACGATAATAATAAAAATTTAAAAAATTTAGCAAAAAATACGAGGCAGCTGGGCAATAATTTAATAAGAACAGTAATTACACAACGAAATTTCAAGTCGAAAAAAGCTCGGCATTATTTTAAAAAAGAAACGCACCATTATCTTCGATATAATGGCGTATAGCAAATGTTGCAACGATGCAATTACTCAAAAAAAAAATCGGAGAACCTCTTCGTCTCTCTCGCCTTGCTGGACCATGTTTCCGGCTCTAAATGTAGCACTGTCCCGCTCTTACCCGCCGCGCGAATTTGATGAAAGAAAAGAGATAGAAATGGTATTTAGGAACCTTTTCGGGTTCTGGGGGCCAAGTGCAGAAATTTCGGGGAGTGAATGACCGGCCGTAGACCCTCGGTGCAAATGCATTTTTGGGCTCGAATAGCGCAACCGAGGGTTTTTTTTTTAGTTGGTAATTTTTACATCAGCAGGGACGACTCGTCGTATTTTGTTTTAATAAATGCACATTTTTATCAATAGGAAATTTTGCATTTTGGCCTCAATTGAAAAAAAAACAAAAAAAAAAAAAAAAACGCATTACTAAGTGACTGGTGGGTTTTTGCATAGATTGTGATTCAAAAATTAAATTGCAGCCGAAAATGTGCACCATAATAAAATATGCAACTTTTTTACGATTTTTCTAAGAAGAATCGTTTCTTTTTGGCAAGTATTCCATTTTATGAGTGCAAAAAGAAAAGTAGATTCATATCGCATGGGACTTTTGGTACTAAAAACTGCATAAACCTGACACTCCTTGTATGTTCTTCTTGAAAATTGTAGGTACCTAGTAGAGCATCTGCAAGTTCCACGATTTGTGAGACTACGCTTAATTTTATTTATTTATTTATTTATTTATTAACGGGCCTTGCCCACTTTTAGTACAAAAATTTAACAAAATTAACCTAAATAGACTAGAACCTCAAATTACTTGATCTGATGAAACTAAGTACCTACATTATAACTAAAAACCAAAACAGAAATTAAGATATATCTCGAGATATATTTTTATCATTACCTATTAACCCTCATAACATACAGTGGCGGCTCGTGACTATTTCAAGTGAGGAGGCTAATTACAGTATAGGATTTTATGAAATTCCTCGGAATTCCACTAAGATTTCAATTTCAAAATTCCATATTTTTTTTTTTAACTTCACTAAAATTCCTCAAAATTTTACCACTGAAATATCCTGGAATTCCACAGAGTTTCATAAAATTTTTTGGAATTTCATGTAATTTCTTAAAATGTTCTCGGAATTCACTCAAATTTTATGAGAATATCCACGTTCATAACCGAAAATCTTTCGAGAGTCCAATGAAACTTCAAGGAATTTTCAAAATTTAATTTATTTTCATAAGAATTTTTCGGAATTTCACTGAAATTCTCTTTTAATAGCCAGGAATTTCTGGGAATATTAATGAAGTTTCAAGTAATTTCTCAAAAATTCATCGAAATATATGAAATTTCATGTTATTACATGGTAATTTTTCGGAATATCACCGAAATTCCATGTTTTTAGCTGGAAATTCCTCGGCATTACTAAAATTCAGTAAAAACTGAAATTTCATGTTGGGAATTTCGGTGTAATTTCATGTAATTGCTTAAAATTCCTCCATGTAATTCATTTAGGATTTCGTGTAATTCGATCGGAATTTCACTGAAATTTCAAGTAATTCGAGAGGAATTAAAATTTAATGTGAATTCTATGGAAACTCCGCAAAAATTTCACATCTAATTCCTTTTTCAGAATAACATACTTATTCTACCGAAATTCCACTAAATTATGGAATTCTGAGATTTTAATAGATTTTTGGGGCTTCCAAAGGATATTTGGGAATTTTAAAGGAAATATTTTTCAGAAATGTCAATGATTGGGTTTAAAATAACCTATAAATCGAGATTTGATAAAAACATATGGCAACGCTGCTCATGATACAACAAACGTCAAAAAATTGAAATTTCAAACCTTGGGTTTTTTTGACAATCGATACAAAATGACGTCTTTTTGTTTCAAAGATTACGGCCCGAAGGGCCGGAGTATGAAAAATCAGTTAACAATGAACGGGTTCGTTCGGATAAAACTTTTGTCGCACGACACTTTGGCAATATCGACAAATGTTACCTGTCAAATTTGACACATGTTCGACTTTTTTCCCGCTCTACTATAAAAGCTACGAAAATCAAACCCCGGTACAAGGCAGTTTCGCGACGCCAACTATCGATTTGTGTCAAAAAAAAATTGACAGCTGTCAACGTCAAAAAGGTTTTTTTTTTTTATTTTGCGAATTTCGAGAAAAAAAGTGATAGAAAACGATCCCCGGACCCCAAAAACCTTAAATAAAAATTCCAAAAAAAAAACCAACGAAAATGACATTCCAAAACCTACTTGATAAAACTAAAGTATTTCTCACTTACCCCGTTAAAACACTGGAAATTTTTGGTGGAAAATGAAGAAAACTCAAAGCCTCGTACTTTAAATCGGTTTTTCCGACCAGAAAAGCCCTGGAAAAGCGGACAAATTCAAAGAAAAACCTCTAAAAATGACATTCCAAAGCCTACTTAATGAAATTTGAGTTTTTGTCACCCCATTGGAAAACTGGGAATTTTTAGCACAAAATGTAGGAAATTCAAAGCCTCGTATTTCAAATCGGGTTTCTTGACTGAAAACGGCTTGGAAAAGTGGAAAATTCGAGGAAAAACTGAATAGAAATGTAAGCACGTCAATTAAAAATTGCCGACTGTCAAAACTGGCAAATGACATTTATTACAAAACCTATTTGAAGTTGTTTGTACCAACTTCAAATAGTGTTGCCACATCAATACTTCCAAAAAAAACATTTTAAATGGGATTTTGTGATTTATGTCATTTTAAAACTGGACATTTTTGCTAGAAAATGAAGAAAACTCAAAGCCTCGTATGTTAAATTGCCTTTTTCCATTGAAAAGCCCCGGAAAAGTGAAAAACTCGAGGAAAAACTGGGAAAAAATTACAAGGCGTCACTTCAAAATGGCCAACTAAAAGCAACGTTGCCACATCTCATTTCGGAAAGCAAAAATAACATTTTAAAAGGGTTTTTTTGTTTAAAATTCAGTTTAATAATTAATTAATAATGATTATAATAATTAAAATTCCCCAAATAAATTATAGGAAACTTGTTTTTAGTTTAATTTCAATGAAAATGACATTTAAAGGTTTACTTATTGATTATAGTGAGTAAGACAAAGACAATCATGAAGTAGTATATGTTTGCAAAAATCACCGTTTTCTGAAAAAACTAAAAATCTTAAGAAAACCAACATTCCAAAGCCAATTTGATAAAACTAAAGTTTTTGAATATTCCTGACTCTTTGATCGGACGTTAGAAATCGCATTTTAAATACTCCCCGTTTTCAATTAGCTCTAAATTATCCGCTCACCAATAGAATTATAAACTAGGCCCCGTGATTAAAATAACTCTAGCCCTTTCGGCTCGTATTACTCCGGCCCTTCGGGCTCGCATATAACTCCGGCCCTTCGGGCTCGCATATAACTCCGGCCCTTCGGGCTCGCATATAACTCCGGCCCTTCGGGCTCGCATATAACTCCGGCCCTTCGGGCTCGCATATAACTCCGGCCCTTCGGGCCGGTATTACTGAGAATCCCAGAGGCGCGAGATTGATTGAAATAATGTTGTCAGATTTTTCTAAATTATATTGAAATATCGAAAATTGGAAAGTGTAATTTGTTAATTATTATTTTAATTAGAAATCAGGAATAAAAAATTGAGATTGAATTTTCAATTTTTTGTGGGAGGTTTAGCCTCCCCTGCCTCCTTTGACGAGCCGCCACTGATAACATATATATGAAATCAAAGATTAAAGAATAGAAAGAAAAAGAGAAAAAAAACAAAAAAATCTTTTAACTTAAATATGTTTCAAATATGTTTTAAATAGCTCACAAAAGTACCAAAGCTGGAATGGAAAAAATCGATGCTGCCAGAATGAGAATTAGCCATTTTTGCCACGCGTGGTATGAAAGAATTAGATCCAACATTAGTTCGCCTGAAGGGCTGCTGGAATATATTTGTTGATCTAGTATTTCTAGGTGGAACCGAAAGAACCACCGATGAGATCAAAAGAGGACAGTCAACCATATA